AAAAAAAAAAATCTAAAAAAAAAAAAAAACCAAGAAGATCAATTGTACAACATTTTCCAAAAAAAAAAAAAAAAAAAAAAAAAAAAAAAAAAAAAAAAGAAAAAGGATTGAATACTGGGCCCTAATTTATTGTTTCCCATAGATCCTCACCTCTGCCTTTCTTACACTAAAATAAAAACATGTTTCATAAAAGGAACCTAGTGATCAAGCAATGGAAACAAAGGCAGTACTTTCTTCTATTTTTCCAAAAGAAAAATGGTTTTAGAGTTGTTATGAATTATAAAAACTTTTCATGTTCATTAAAAAAACAATTTAAACAATACATAAAAATATAAACAAGAAAGTAAAACAAAAATCCCAACATTTAGCAATAACTATTTGCAACATTTCCCCAGACATTTTGCATGTGTATATGTATGTATACTGAATTTTTAAAAGTTAAAAGTTACAATTAATTTCCTAAGTCAGTATTTATTAATATCTAATATGCATGTACTAACTGCTTACTCTGTCAAGCTATCAGGCTGTCTATCTGGAGTACAATGGTGAGCAAGACCAGTGTAGTATGATTTAAAGAACTTTAAAAAGGAAGGCAAACAATTAAATTAACAAAAATAGTACCAAGTGCTATGAGAGCAGAAATAGGATAGCTGAGAGCACTTTATTTTAGGGAGATGAAGACAAGGAAAATATTTAGGAAGAAGTTACATGTAGGGGCTGGGGATGTGGCTCAAGCCGTAGCGCGCTCGCCTGGCATGTGTGCGGCCCAGGTTCAATCCTCAGCACCACATACAAACAAAGATGTTGTGTCTGCCAAAAAATAAAATAAAAATTTTTTCTCTCTCTCTTAAAAAAAAAAAGAAGTTACATTTAAACTTAGGGGAAGGATGAGTAAAGCATAAAGAACTGAAGCAGAAGAGATTTTCTAGGCAAAGGAAATATTACTTGGAATGCCTAGTGTGTGTCACTGTGACCAAAATACTTGACAAGAATAGATTAGAGGAGGAAAAGTTGTCTGTGGTTCAGTTCAAGGTGGGCCAGCCAATCCATTGCTTTGGACCTGAGATGAGGCATAACATCATGGAGAAAGGCTGTGGTAGAGGAAAGCTTCTCAGCTCATGGCAACCAGAAAGCAGAGATATAGAGTAAGGAACCAGGGACAAAATAAAGTACAAGGCCACACACTCAGTGATCTACTAATTCTAGTCATACCCCATCTGTCAACAGGTATCAGCCAGTAGTCATTCAAATTATTAATCCATAAAACAAACTAATCCACTAATGACGGCCTAACTCTAATAATCCAATCTTTTCACCTCTGAACATTGCTCCACTGACTAATACAGGAGCTCTTTGGGGGACATTTTTAGATCTCAAACCATAATACCCATTCATACTCAAGGAACCAAAGAAGTTTTACTGGAGGCAAATGAGAAATTGGGGCAAACAATGGAAGATATTGCTGGAAGAGTAAGTAATATAAAGAATCTGGATTCTATTCTATGGGCAGTGAGTAGTCACTGAAAGGTTCTAAGTAGTAAGTGATACAATCAGATTTGTATTTAGAAGGATCACTCTTGATTATAATGTAGAGGATACACTATAAAAGGCTGAAGACTGAAACAAAAGTTAGATATCTACATAAACAGAGATGTAATTTATCATTTTTAATATTTGCAGAGTACTAAATAGGTTCCATGAGGCTGCAGTCTTTTTTTCAATTCTCAATTCTAGAGTCCAACACATTTCATTATTTGGTACATAATAAGTATTTGTTAATTTAAAAATAATCATCAAGCTGGGTGCAGTGGCGCACACCTGTAATCCCGGCAACCTGTGAGCTAAGGCAGGAGAATTTTAAGTTCAAAGCCAGTCCCAATAACTTAGTGAGACTCTGTCTGGGGCGGGGGGTGGGGGTGGGGGGAAGACTGAGGTTGTGGCTCAGCAGTAGCGCACTTGCTTGCCATGTGTGAGGCACTGGGTTCAATTCTCAGCACTGCATATAAATAAATAAATAAATAAATAAATAAATAAAGGTCTATCAACAACTAAACAACAACAACAACAACAAATAAAAGGATGTAGTTCAGTAATTAAGCACTCCTGGGTTCAATCCTGGGTACCTTCCCCGAAAACTAAAAAACGATAAAAAGTAATTATCAATAGTTGTTAATAAGAACCACAACTTAAAAAAAAAAGTTTTTTTTTTTTTGGTAGTTGTAGATGAACAGAATGCCTTTATTTTATTTGTTAATTTTTGTGTGGTGCTGAGGATCAAACCCAGTGCCTCACATATGCTAGGCAAGCGCTTTGCCACTGAGCTACAGCCCCAGCCCAAAAACCATAACTTATCTTTCACTGAATACTAACTATATGTCAGGAACTGTATTAAGCATATATTGCATTTAATTCTCACAATTATTTTATAGAGGAAAAAAAAGCTCAGAGAGTTAGTTATAAGATCTATGCTAGTTAGTGAAGGAGTGAAATTTCCCACATTTGCCAACTCTAAAGCCATTTAACCATAGCTGGCTAACTGATAAATTAGCCAATTATTAATTGCTTAATGTACATTTAGGTTATTTCTAAATTTTCTTGCTACTATACATAGCATAAAGATGAATTTCTTCAAATATGTCCAACCACTCTTGATTGATTACCACATCAGCACTTGGATACTGCTATAATAAGCTATACAGCAGGGCATTATAAACTTCAATCATTTTATAAAATTGCTCCCCAGAAAGGTTATTTCATGAAATTAATACGAATACATGAAAATGCCTGTTTACTTCCTAGTGTATCAATACTGAGTACCACTGATTTTTGATAACTCAATGACTTGCCCACAAAAACTCATTTTAGTTGTAATTTATACTTATGTATAATTATTAGTAAAAGTTGATAATCTTTACACATGTTTATCATTTTAATTTTCCCTGCTTATTTACTGTTCATATTCTTTGCCCATTTTTTGTTGTTGTTGATGGACGTTTATTTTATTCATTTATTTATATGCAGTGCTAAGAATCGAACCCAGTGCTTCACACATGTGAAGCCACAACTGCAGCCCTCTTTGCCCATTTTTAAAGACTCATTTTTAAATAGATGACTGGTAAATACTCTATGTATTTTGAATTTTAATTTTTTGCTTGCCATAAATGTTTGCAAATAATGTGATCTTGGCTTTTGTTGCCTTACAATTTTGTTATGATTTTCTGCATCCTGAAGTGTCACATTTTACATAAAACCTATTGTTCCTTCCAGTACGGTTTTGCTAACCACCTCATGATTATGAAAATTCTACCCACATTTTCATCTAACCTTTTACAAATTATAATAGTTTTAATCCATGACATTAATTCTAATCTTAGGATGATTTTGATGTAGTGTCATATAGATCTCATAATATACTTTGCTGGATATATAATGGTTTTCAAAATATACAAAAATTGGAATATGATCTAAGACTAAGAGTAGGTCTAAGACTAAGCAAATCACTGTTTTTCCTGTTGGTAAGACTGAATTTTTCTTCCTTTTATCTATGTGTAGAAACATAAACTTTCCAATAGTTACCTAAATAACAGAAATAATTGCTTTTGAGCTGGGGTGGTAGCTCAGTGGTAGAGCGCTTGCCTACCACATGTGAGGCACTGGATTCGATCCTCTCAGTACCACATAAAAATAAATAAATACAATAAAGGTATTGTGTGCATCTACAACATCTACAACTAATATATATATGAATTTGCTTTTAACTGGGTGCGGTGGCACATGCCTGTAATCCCAATGGCTTTGGAGGCTGAGGCAGGAGGATTGTGAGTTCAAAACCAGCCTCAGCAACTTACTGAGGCCCTAAACAATTTAATGAGACCCTGTCTTTAAATTAAAACAAAAAAAAATTTGCTTTTTGTCATAATTTACTACTTAAAAATTTTCCTGTATACTGCTAACTAGGAACAATGAATGGATATCTCTGTTTTGACTCAGTAAATTTAAAAACTTAATTATGAGTTATTTTAGGCTTTAAATTTTAATGAACTAAAAGAAGCATTTTCTTTTTTTTCATGAACAGTACTATTAAAAGTAACCTAAAGGGCTGGGGTTGTGGCTCAATGGTAGAGCGTTTGCCTAGCACACGTGACGCACTGGGTTTGATCCCCAGAACCACATTAAACAAACAAACAAAAAACTAAATAAACAAAATAAAGGTACTGTGTCCATCTACAACTAAAAATATTAAAAATAAGTAACCTAGAAAAATTAAAGTAATTTTTAATATTGACAGGAAAATTACCTTAAGGCCAACTTAATAAAATTAAAGTCCTATTTTTTTAAAAAAATCTCGTTTACATTGTAAATGTATTCACTGAAGAAAATTTGGGGAATACAGAATATCCCAATGAAACATTTTGTTACTATTAGACTGCATTTCAATAAAATTCAAATAGAAATTCATGGCAATTTCTATTGATGCTAAAAATACTATGGTGATAGTTAAACATGATATGGCTATCTTTAGTTTTCTGAGTATCAAAATTTTTTTTTAATAAGATTTGAATTTCTACATTTATGTAATCTTGAAGTATAACAGAAAATAAGAACTCTAACAAAGTTCTTAGGATAATTCAAAAAACCCACATTAAAATGTCTTTGCACAGAATGCCCTCAAGAAGGAACAAATCTATCCAATACAAGCAATAATGAGGTTAAATCACATATATAAACAAAGTCTTTCAAAAAAACTCTACTCACACCAATTATTTAAGACTAACAATGAAACAAGACCTAGAGCTATAGAAGTATACTTAGAAATTGATAGCATTATTGTTAAATGTAATAAGGAAAATGACAGCATTTTGATACTAAATGCTTCTGGAGATATCCTTTCTAAGGAAATAGATAAGATTTATAGATCATTTTGAAAACCATCCCAGTTTATACTTCTTTTTGAATATTCAAATATTTCATTTAAAAATATAATAGAATAATTTATTTACCTGACCACCACCAGAAGTTGCCATGTTGATTTCTGCCACTCCTTGACCTTCATTCTGCCGCTCAGCTTCATGTGAGCCAGCTTCATGCTTGTTCTGAGATGATCTCTGTTAACATGGAGTTAACATCATTACATACAAAAATGGTGTATGCTTTCTCAGTCCACAGCTTTTTTGTTTTAAAGTTCTGAATGCATTAATTATATAGCTTGACAAAGGCATGGATACTGCACATTACACTTCATAACCTCCAGCATGGCTAGCAGTCGGCTACCTCGGTAGGAGGAAAGTGAAATGTGTCCCTTGAGCATTAGAACTGCACAAGACAAAGGATTTTCTGAGATTCACAGAAACACCATCCTCCACCAGCTGTGCTCACATCACTATCAGGAATATAACCCAACTAGAAAATAACTGTCTTTTCTGCAAGGTCACATGATTCTGGCATTTTACAGAGCTATAAATACAACAATTAAACTATCACTTTTTATGCAGGCCTATTTATACATATTTTCTTACAAATACCTTTTGTGTAGGCATATTTATACATATTTTCTGGCAAAGTTATATGAAACTGACAAGTTCTTAGATTTTGATAATGAATGAATAAAACAGAAAACCTTGCTAATGCAACCACCATCTGTTACATGAAATAAAAATGACAGATTATATCCAGTAAGAGCAGTCATTTCAAAAAAGATTATATCTAGTATAAAGCAGTCACTTTATAAAAACACCACTGCAGAGTCAAAGAAAAAAAAACAATTTCCCATCATCTTCTAGAGAAGTGCCTAGTACTTGCTCTGGGAAAATGATACTCTAAAATAAAAATTATTCTTTAAAAATCTGACATAATAGTGGATATTATAAAATGGCTTCCACAGGAGTTTTTAACCTTAAGTTTTCCTAGATCATTTAAAAATGTGACTTAGAAACTAATTTATAAGTAACATTTCCATTGATGAACTAGTATTAGTTATATGTAAGCAACAGACAGGAGAAAAACAGTACTATCTGAAAAATCACTCTGTAAATTTCATCAAAATTACAAGAGTAGAAATACACAAAGTTAACCTCGAGACAAAATGAATCAAAGTTGAACCACTAAGACCACAAAAATGTGACCCTAATGAGTAAAGGTGTCATATATTTAAAGAAAATATAATTACTGACTATCTTCTATGGTCAGTTACTTATACTATGTGTTCCAGAATACAGTGCTAACAAAATTAGACATTACTCTCTTGAAGCTTATAGACTATTCAGACGCACTCAAATAATGAAAACAATGAAGTTAAAACTTTGACAAGGTGGTATGACAAAGGAATGTGACATGGGTTGAGGGTTTGGGGAAGAGTTGTTTCAGGGAGTGCTGTTTGAATGGAAAAGTGAAGAATAAATAGTTAATCGGAACAGGTGAAGGAGTAGAGAATAAGCATTCTAATCAAATATGATCATACACAAAGGATTAGGAGAAGGAGGAAATGTGGCTTGTTCTAGTGCATTAAAGAATCAGTGTGGTTGAAACACCAAAAACAAGAAACAAAGTAGAATAACAACAACAACAACAACAAAAGATGGCAAAAACTAAAAATAATAAAAACACTGATTTTTGTTGAATTTGAGTATGGTAAGAAGGGACTCTTAATTTTTCTAAGTTATACTGAGGCTACCCATTAATATATTAATGGACACTTAAATTGATTTTTTAAACCAAATTTTAAGTGGTGTAAGTAGGTAGGAAACAAAGTAGTTAGGAGGCTAATGAATTAATTTAAGTAGGTGAGAGATGATGGTACTTTACAAAAAGAAAGCAGCAACAGAAATTCAACAAGTATAGTAACAGGTAAATATGAGGATAACTGAAGCTCTAAGCACATAAATAAGATTGCCTTAGACAGGGAAGATACAGAGAAAAAAGGAATAAGCCTTAAAGAATGCCTATGACTAATGAGAGGTAGGAAAAAACAACAACAAAAAGTGATTACGTTGTGATGATGAATACAACAATAATCTTAAAAAAAAAAACTAATGTACACTATGCATTAGTCAACTGTTGCATACCATACCAACTCTATGTAGTACTATTATTAATCTTCATACCAACTCTATGTAGTACTATTATTATCTCCATTTTACAAATAAAGAAACTGAGGCATAGAGAACATAAATAACATAAATAACCCGCTTTCAGTTAGATACTTAGTAAATGGTAGAGTCAGAGCTGGAATTACCATCCAGGCAGTCTCACTTCACAGCCCAATATAATATTTAAAACTTTGAGCTTTCATTTTCTTTCTTCCTTCTCTTTCCTTAATTATTTTCCTTGATTTTTCCTTTGACCCTGGGCTTTAGGCCCCCACTACATTTTTGAATCAGTGTCCAAAATCACCACTGACAGAGGAGACAAAAGAGGCTGTTGCTGATTCTCATGAAAGAATAATCTTAACTCCTCATTTTCATAGTTGTAAAACTTTCCTAAGGTTTTCTGCCCTAAATTAAAGGGGTGAAAAACAATCTTTGAAACAATTTTTGTTGAGGTATTTACAAAGCAAAAAATACACACTCACATAATACAACTAAATGATTATCAGTAAAATTTATTAAGCATCACCATAATCCTATTTTAGAACATTTCTATTCTATTATTCTAATAAGATATCTCTGCCATTTTTACTAATTCTATTCCTAGGTAAATTTGCATCAAATTCAATTGTAGGACATAGTGATATTAAAAGAACTGGTATCAAAATTGCTGAAAATAATGTTCTTTCAAAAGTTTTAAAAAACTCTTTCCCAGTGTTAGCTGACTATAAATCAAAGGCATTTATATTCTCATTCTTTTATGAGAAATCTGTTTTCCATTCATCTAAGTTTTAGGAAAAAGCTTTCCCATTATCTGAAAATTTTTTTATCCCATTATCTGAAATTTCATCACAATGTGTATTAGTGTAAGATTATTTTCATCTTTGGTTGTCAGATTTTGGAGACTGTTTCATTTGAAAAACTATGGCCCTTGATTTTGGGAAATTTTAATTTATTTTCTCAGATCTTTCTAGTTTTCTCCAGCTCTTTGTGGAACTCCTCTTATTTAGATATTGAATCCTCTTAGAATGATTCTGCTTTTATTTTTTCTGTTTTCTACCTCATTGTCTTTTTGTTCTACTTTCTAAATTTTTTGTTGTTGTTGTTGTTTGTGTTTTAGACAGGGTCTGGCTAATTTGCTTAGGGCCTTGTTAAGCAGCTAAGGCTAGTCTCAAACTTGTTGTTCTCCTGCCTCAGCCTCCCGAGTCACTGGGATTACAGGCATACACCACTGTGTCCAGAGACAAAGTTATCTTTTAAACTTGCTATTAATTTTTTTGTATCTGCTATCATATACACACACACACACACCAGGGGTGCGTTAGCAATGAGTGTGTATTTTTTGCTTTGTAAATACCTCAACAAAAATTGTTTCAAAGATTGTTTTTCACCCCTTCCAGCATTAAGTAAGTAAATTTTTACTTAACTCAATCCTTTCTGAGCCCTTTTTATTTTGTATTTTGAGACAGGGTCTCACTAAGTTGCTGAGGTTCTCATTGAATTACTGAGTCTGGCCTTAAACTTGTGATTCTCCTGACTTAGTCTTCTGATTTGCTGGGATTACAGAGATGTGCCACTGTGCCCATCTTTGCTATCAAAATTTTAACTCCCACAAACTTCTTTTTTATTCTCTAAATGTTTTGTTCTTGCTAAATGTCCTTTTCTTGCTTTATTTTTTTAATACTAATGTTAGTTTTTTTAAAAAATTTTCTTTTTCTTTTAGTTGTCAATGGACCTTTACTTTATTTATTTATATGCAGTGCTGAGAATCAAATCCAGTGCCTCACACATGCTAGGCAAGCACACTACCACTGAGCCACAACCCCAGCCTTTAATGTTAGTTTTATTTTTTAAGTTTTCTTCTTCCTATAAGAAGAAATTATCTATTTTCTTTTTCTTTTTTTTAAAAATATTTATTATAGATGGACACAACACAATGCCTTTATTTTTATGTGGTGCTGAGGATTGAACCCGGGTCCTGCCCGTGCCAGGCAAGCGCTCTACTGCTGAGCCACAATCCCAGCCTGAAATTATCTATTTTCATAATCTTTGTTATTAGAAACTTTCTTAAAATGTCTTGTGGTCATTAGTGTCCACCCATGTTTAAGAGTGAGTGAGTTATAAAAAAGTTAAATGAAGCTCTATGCCTACAGGATAGAGTCTATAAAGTACAGTGACCTTATAATGCTGTTAAGCTGAACTATTTTGTTTAGTGAATTTTCCAACATTAGGTAACTTCAGCTCTCTTTTCTTGAGTTAGTGATGTTTTTTAAAGAAGTTCTTTCCAGAATCTTGCCTAGAGATGACAAACCTGGATATAAGTGGGAATTCCAGCATTAAGTAAGTAAATTTTCACTTAACTCAAATTTTTAAATATGGTATCCCCAATTTCAGTTACTCACCCAAAGACTGTCATTCTTTGGGGCGGGGGATCACTCATCTTTTGTTAGAACTGGAAAAGAGCAGTCACTCAGCTCTGTAGAGCTGTAAAGTACTGGAGACTACAATCACTTCCTAAAAGATTTTCAACCAATCCTCCTGCTTTTAGCCCTTTTTAAAACCCTTACATCCAAGGGATAACTAGTGTAGCCAGTTTTAGAACCTATTAGACTTCACAGTATACACTGGGTTGCTTCATGGCTTTTCTTAACACTTACTTAGGGGGTCACTTCTCCACAACATGGTTACAATTTGTTTATTTGTTTTCCAGCTCCCCAAAGTTTATGATCATCACCTCCCCTGGTCTTTGTGTCTTTCATTTTATCCTTTGACCATCAGTTTAATGGGGTTTGTGGAGTAAACACAGGTAAATGTATAAAATCAGTTTATACTATGGATTACAAATAAGGAAAAAGTTTACTTACAGGATGATAATAGCTAAGTTAATTATCTGATTATATGTAAATTGACAGCTGATGTAAAATATCTATATTGATGTTTCTATAAATCTTAAATGCCTAAAAGTTATAAAGAAATCAAAAAAACAAAGGTTTTTGATAATTCAATTTCATGAAAAAAAATGTCAATTCTTTAGAAGAATATCCATATTTCAATGATACCACATTAATTACACATATTTTCTTAGAAAACCTACCTATTTTTTAATATGCAAACAAAAAAGACAATTTACTAACCTCTGCTTCTGTTGCTTGGGACTGTAAAAGCTGTCGTATACGCAGTATGTCCTTTTCTATTTGCTGAATTCTAGCTATTCTTCGCTAAAATGAGACCAAATTAAACATGATTTTATTAAAAAACATTAGTGCAAACAGTATTACTGTGGCTATCAATGAACAGATCAGGATTATGTCAAACCATTTTTATGCAAGCAGTTAGAAATGTATATATATTCACATTAATGACAAATTTGGTTAATTCAGTTTTTTTTAATACACTGAAATTTATGCAACAGATCTACAGATTTGTTTAGTAAAACTGTATAAATACAAATCACATATCAAATTGCATGGTTTATGTATTGTGCAACTTGGTGAATGGGAGTGGAGCTTAGAGGTAGAAAACATGCTAAGCTTACTCAAGGCTCTTCTTATTTAATTTCAAACACCATTCTCCCCCCAAAAAGTTATTTTCAAAAAATTTCAAGAAAGAAAATTACACCTGGATTTAATAATTTATATTAATCTAGGCATTAATATTATGTAATGGATGTATATAAAGCATAGTATATCTATAAAGGAAAATAATATCTGATTTATTTTCATAAACATTAGGGTAAAACAATAGAACTAACACTCCTAAAGTTACCCCTGTTCCATGTCAGTAGTATTTTTCAGACTTCCAAAATACCTACCACAGCTAAACATTATTTTTATTTCCAATAAAAGGACCATACAGGGTTGGGGTTGTTGCTCAATAGTAGAGTGCTCGCCTAGTGTGTGCAAGGCCCTGGGTTCAATCCTAAGCACCACATAAAAATAAATAAATAAAACAAAGGTGTTGTTAAAAAAATAAATAATAAAAGGACCACAAAGATGGCATAGCTTTGCTACCTACCATGATGAGACTACCCAGTGACCACAAAGCAGTAACTACATATTGAACTACATGGAACTGAAATAATGTGGGGAAAAGTTTATTTTATTTTATTATTATTATTATTTTCTTCAGTGCTGGGGATCAAACCTAGGCCTTAATCGTGACAGGAAAGTGTTCTACCACTGAGCTATACCCTCTCCCCCTTGGTTTTGCTTTATTCATCCATTCATTCATTTATGTATCTGGGGTACTGGGGATTTAACCCAGTGGTACTCTACTACTGAGCTTCATCTCTTTTCATTTTTTTATTCTGAAAAGGTGCTAAGGTACTAGGTTGCCCTCAAACTTGTAATCTTCCTATCTTGGCCTCCTGAGTAGTTGGATTTACTGATGTGTACCACTGTACTCAGCTTCTTTTAATTTTTATGAGTACTAGTAGAAGTGAGAAAAACCAAATTACTTAAATATAATGACCTTGCAAATTCAAGTTATTTTTTAAAATCTACATTACAATAGAGACAATACATAGGTTTTAAAAATAAATACTGATAATTTTGTTCCATTCATTTTCTGCAATAATATGAAAGCTAACATCTTAATACTGAAGTATTAAAATCTGTGTTATAAAAGTAACCTTTTTCTTTTTTGGTAGGATTCTGGAGATGGAACCCAGGGCCTCACACATACCAGGCAAACAATGAGCAACATCCCCAGTCCCTTTATTTTGAGACAGGTCATGCTAAGTTATCAGGTTGGGCCTTGAATTTGAAATCCTCCTGACTCAGCCTCCTGGGGAGCTGGGATTATAGACATGCACCACCATGCCTGGCTAAAAGTAATTGTTTCAATAAGGAAAAACAATATTAGAAGCTAAATAGTTTCCATACTTTTTGGTTACTTGCCCCATCAATGAAACATTTCTGAGCATATATCTCTAATAGATAAATTTAAAAATGCTTATTGCAGCAATTATCCAATGTTATGATATACAAAGAACAGAAAAACTCCAAGTAGCTATGCTAGTTACCCAATCTCCTGCTCCAAACATCCATCTATTTTCCTTCCTTCCTTTTTAATATAACTGTGCTGATTCTCTGTCATGATTCTGCAAGTAGTAAACTTATGATAAATAACATCCTCTAATTAACAAATTTTATCATGACTAATGCATACCATGAAAACAGACTGAAGAGGAAATGCCTATACTTTTGGTAAGCATTCTAAAGGTACTGTACAGATGAGTGAATACTTCTAAAACCAGATAGTGAATATCTTCTGTTTTTAGAAACTACCAAACTATTCTAAATTTGATTGTTTCTTTCTATAAGTAATCAGCTCTTCTCCATCAATAAAGTCCTAGATCAAAAATTTTAATAGAGGATGAAAACAGGAAATTATATCTAAATTCCTCTCTGATACCATATTTACTAGTACATTTTAATTATATAGAACAATGAATGTTATTGTGGCATAATTGTACATGCACATAACATACTTAAATCATAACCTACTCCCTCACCCTCAGTCACCCTTTCCCCCCTCCCCTACCCACTTCCCTCTTCTCCAAAATCTTTCTTTTCTTTTCTTTTTTTGTGTGGTGCTAAAATTTGAACTCTGGACCTTGCACAACAAATGGAAAAAATAAAAAGCCTCAAGGACTAGAAAGGACAAAAAAAAATAATTATTATTATTTGCACGTGCTAGGCAAGCACTCTATCACTGAGCAACATCCCCAGCCCTCTATAATCTTTCTACTTTCATATTATGTTTTGTTTTCCCCCTGGATTCCACCTGAGAGAAAACATGCAATACTTGACTTTCTGAGTCTGTCTTATTTCACTTAACATGATATCCAATTCACCCATTTTTTTGTACAAATGACATCATTGCATTTTCTTTTTAATATTTTTTTAGTTGTAGATGGACACAATACCTTTATTTATTTGTTTATGTTGTGTCTTAATTTTAATAGAGTAAACTTTATCAGTCTTTTATTTTTATAATGAGTTTCATGTCTTATTTAAGAAACATTTGCCTAGCATGTGTGAGGCACCACATTAAAAAAAAAAAAAATTAAAGATAAATTGGCACCAAAATAGACCTGGAGACCAATAGTACAGAATAGAGGACACAAAGACTAACCCATATAACTACAGTTATCTTACATTAGACAAAGGCACCAAAACCGTATATTGGAGAAAAGACAGCCTCTTCATCAAATGGTGCTGGGAAAACTGGAAATCCACATGTAACAAAATGAAATTAAACCTCTCTCTCACACCATGCACAAAATTCAACTCAAAGTGGATCAAGGATCTAGGAATTAAACCAGAGACTCTGTGCCTAATGGAAGAAAAAGTAGGCCCAAATCTCCATCACATCGGAGTAGGCCCCAACTTCCTGAATAAGATTCCTATAGTGCAAGAATTAAAACCAAGAATCAATAAAAGGGATGGATTCAAACTAAAAAGTTTCTTCTCAGCAAAAGAAACAATCAGTGAGGTGAATAGAGAGCCTACTAATTGGGAACAAATTTTTACTACCTGCATGTCAGATAAAGCATTAATCTGTAGGGTATATAAAAATCTAAAAAATCTTAACACCAAAAAACTCCACAAATAACCCAATCAATAAATGGGTCAAGGAACTAAAGACACTTTTCAGAAGAAGATATAAAATCAATCAACTAACATATGAAAAAATGTTCAACACTTCTAGGAATTAGAGAAATGCAAATCAAAACTACACTAAGATTTCATCTCATTCCAGTCAGAATGGCAGCTATTAAGAAAACAAACAACAATAAGTGTTAGCAAGGATGTCGGGGGGAAAGGCACACTCATACATTGCTGGTGGGACTGCAAATTGGTGCAACCAAGATGGAAAGCAGTATGGAGATTCCTTGGAAAATTTGGAATGGAACCACCATTTGACCCAGTTATCCCACTCCTCGGGTTATACTCAAAGGACTTAAAATCAGCATACTACAGGGACACAGCCACATCAATGTTTATAGCAGCACAATTCACAACAGGTAAACTGTGGAACCAACCTACCTAGATGCCCTTCAGTAGATGAGTGGATAAAGAAACTGGTACATATACACAATGGAATATTTCTCAGTAATAAAAGAAAATAAAATCATGGTGTTTGCAGGTAAATGGATGGAGCTGGAGAATATAATGCTAAGTGAAGTAAGCTAATCCCCCATACCAAAGGCCAAATGTTTTCTTTGATATGAGGATGATGACTCATAATGGTGATGGTGGGGGCGGGGAGCATGGGAAGAATGGAGGAATTTTAGATAGAGCAAAGGGGAGGGAGGGAAAGGGAGGGGGTAAGGGGGTAGAAATGAAGGTGGAATGAGTTAGACATTAAGTACATCTATGAAGACACAATGTTGTGAAAATACTTTGTGTACAATTAGTGACTTGAAAAATTGTGCTCTATATGTATAATATGAAATGAATTGTATTCTGCCATCATGTATTACATATTAGAATAATTTAATTAAAAAAGATATTATGTCCGTCTATAACTAAAACAAAAAAGTTAAAAAGAAAAGAAATTCATTCCTACTCAGTTTCAGAAACATAATTAAGTATATTTTTAACTAAAAAGTTTAAAGTTTTACTTTTGATACTTAAGTCAATCTATCTGAATGAAAGAAGCAAAAAAGGGGGTAAGAAAAAAACTAACATTATAACACATATATATGCATGTGTCAGCATGCGCGCGTGCACACACACAATTTACACCCCCAACTAGTTGTGAAACTAACAGGCATGGACTACAAAATGCATGATAGTACTAGTGTAAAGGATAATCTGAAGTCTATATTAGTTTATAATTACATCTAACAAAAATAGAATACACTTTATGTTTAGGAAGTTACCAGATAAACCCTATGTTTTGGGAAAAACAAAATATCCTAATAAAAATATTCCCAAGCTTATTATGGAACAGAAAAGGCAGTCAAGAAAACTTCTGTATAGAGTTTAAAACATATTAGTCAGTTGTGTTTGTATGAATACAGAAAGCTATACTGAATAGTATGTGAAAATGCTTAATATGCTTTCTTGACATCAGTTAAGGGTAGAAATATGGGAATGTTCTCTATCCAACTCATCTCATCTCCTATAATGTTTTCTTTATGTTTCTTTCTTACTATCCTTGAATGAGTATTTTCTTTATTTTTAAGTGCAAAACTTGGAAGAGCAATGACACATTCTGGATGTCGTACTTAGATAATAAGAAGAAAAAAATCTCAAATGAGAGCTGAAGGTAGCTATCAGATACTAGATAATCAGAACCTTTTTCTCTTCCTTATAAAGCAGAACAGAATGATACTGGGGAAAATGAAATATGGTAGACAGAATTATGTGAATAGTATTTAAATAACCAGCAGCCATGATAAATTGTTATCTTAAAATAGTGCCAAAAAAAAGATAAGACTTATAAATTTATTTCTCTTCCCCCTCTTTTTTTTTATGATGCTGGGGATCAGATCCAAGGCTTTCCATATGCTAGATAAGGGAACTATCAATGAACTATATATGCCTGGCCCCATAAATATCTCTAAAAAACAAAATTTAATCAATATTAACAGAATTGTAGTAGTTTAAAAATAAGTTACCTGTGCCCGTTTTTCCATATCCTGGCAAGTACCCAGTTGTTCTTCCATTGCAACTCTGATTTGCCTTGCTTCATATTCCAATTGCCTTCTGGTCATATCTGTTTGTAAGGAAAACTAAAACCACAAATAATATAAAAATATCAATATCTAGCATTTTCAACTTATAAATCAAAAGCATATAAGTACCAATAAAATAAATGTAAATCCTTGTACATGGAAAATTATTTTTTATTCCAAGGAGTCCTAAAACTTGATGATAGGTACTAAACTCAATCTGGGTCCCTGAGGTGATATGTAGTTAAAGCACTGCCTTGAATTCACAAATGGTTTTGAGTACAATACAATTAATTTGTATTGTTTCATTTAAAATATGTAACTGGATCAGTTGGGTGAGCCTAACTTTAGTTCCCCTATGATTCTCTCCTCTGAAAAGGCACTACTTTTAATTACTGTAAACTAGCATATTAATATGAAAAAAAATCAAGAAACAGGTTCATTGCTCTTAAGTTTGGATCTCAATTTAAGGTAAGGATTACCACTATACACATAGACAAAACATAACTTTTCCTTTTGTAAAATGAAGAAAATGAGGTAAGAAAAACCCTACATGTAATATAACATAGATGGTCATAAATAAATGAGACAAAGTCAACACAAACTTTGGTAAGTATCTAAAAGTGACGCGAAGTTGAAAAATTATCAGAGTGGGTATTAACTCATTCAAAAATCTACTAACCCTCTAATTAAAATTCCAGACACTATGATAATTGCCAGGCATATAAAGAGATGCAAAGAAAAAAGTAGAATATGATTAGATAAAATAACAGGTAATAGTTATAATGGGCCACCAAAGGAAATGAAGAAATGCTATGGATTTTTCATGTTCTATGTGCTTATAGAAAACTGCACATGCCATATGTCTGATTCAGAATAGCATTCCTGCCTAAGAACTCCAAATTGCATTTTAAGAGAAGTTCTCATCCTCTTCCCTTGCAACATATACAACACATTTACATGCAGAATGTAGTTCTATAGGCAGACACAAATTATGGCTACAATATAGATGAAATAGCCTGCATGTTATTTCTTATTCCCATTTCATTCATTTGTCTTTCACTTTTCAACCACCCCATGCAAATAAATATATACAGAACATGACACAATATGTTGCAATGTGTTTGAAGTTGTTTTAAGTAATGTCTAATACTTTGAAAAGTACGTAAGTATTTTCACATGAAAATTTTCATTAATTTCGTACCCCAATATGAAAGAAAAACTTGGGTAATTAAAAAAAAAAGTTATAAAACACAAGCAAGTTTAAATGTGTTATGTTGTCAGTGGTCCATAATAATGTCTTGGATATTCTATTAAAGATGATTATTTAATAAATAGGGAATAATTAGACAGGTGATCTTTATTTCAGATAGTAACCAGTTGCTCTTGAGTTTCATATATATCTAAGTCCTTTCCTGAATCTGACTGCATGTCTCAAATACACTGGGTTTTGTATTCTTATTACCAAAGATAATAGCAAAACTATTTTTTTTTTTTTTTTGGCCATTAAAAAAAATCCCATGGAAACCCTTCTAATTCCTAATCCTTATCTGTCTTTTGCTACTTGTGTACTTGATTCCCAGGAAGATTTTAAGGGCATTTGTCAGAAAGAGGAATCCCTGAATGACTTTTCTAAGAACATTTAAGCCTCTAGTTTTAGCTCCTGCCCCTCAACTTCCACTCAGGAAGTCTTGCTAATAACTATACATCCTAAAAAAGTTTTTTCTTATTTCTACTTTTACTTTTTTGCCTATCATGTTCTTAAAAATGCTATTGTAACATGAAAAAGCTAAGCTATGAAAGCCAGTTATATTTTAATTAGTCTATTTTTTCTTTTAAAAATTATATGAAGTATTTATGGATAAAAGATAGTCTTTTGAGATTAGTAATGTACTTCAGAAGATTTCTTAAAATATGTGCCATTCCATGAATAAAACAGTTAACAAAGAGGCAGGATGAACAGGTGGCTAACAGGATTTTTTTAAACATAGCTATATTTGCAAAATAAACTGTAGAACTTGCAAAAATATTAAGATCTATGCCTATAGCTATTGTCATTTATACCTGAATAGGATTCAAATAATCTTCAAATGTCATATAGAAATAAAAAATTAATAATAGTTTTCTACAATATGGTACCAAAAAAATTGGCAGGTGTTAGCAAACATTTCTAGAGAGTATGTTTGGAAATTCAATATACAGAATTAAAAAAACAGTTGCCTTGTGGAATTCTGAGTCCTTCAGGAGTTAAAGATTTTCTCAACTCAGGGCTTGAAATAAATACTTGTTGGAATATGATTAAATTTAATTGTCTTTATAAATAAAAATTTACTACTTCCAATATATTCAGGTTTAAAGTTGATAAAACATATTACATTCTACAAGTTACTATAATTTCAGTTATCCTGAATTTGTAATAGATTACCTAGGTACTTCTAAAGATCAAGTTATTAAAGTCTAAAATAAGTCGTACTGCCATGTTACTTACATTTTCAGTTAAAGGAAGGCTATCTATTCTTTTAGTGAGATTCTGAAGTTGAGCATAATACCAGTCTTTTTCTTTTTCTTCTTTGTCAAGATCAGCAAGGAGTAATGATCTATTTTTTAAAGAAAGGTAAGTTTATATAATGCTAATACAGACTGCAAAGAGTAATCTTTACCAGCTGTTATTGTAAAAAGTACAGATAACAAAATTCAAAATTAATACAAGAATAAAAAGTACACTAAATAAGTTTAGAAAAGTAGCAATTTTGCTAGAAAACAAATTTGCTAGAATACAGGAAGCTACTACCTTGGACACAATGTAGTTTCAGCTTCTTAGCAGCCAAAATAATAAGAAATATATTGTCTCTGTGTAATAGAAGAAATTATTTGGAGGTAGAGAAACTTCTTGGTTTGAAATTTGAAGATGAATTTATGCAATTCCTGAATAACCCAATCAATGGTGTCTTCAATAGTAATCTACATTGAGATACTGCATACTTGGATCATTATAAACATAAATGCCCAATAAAAATGTTACTGGGATAAAACTCAGTAGGTACAAAAAGTACATGGTCTATCTCTTTTTATGTGGTTCTTTCCCAAAGCAATGACTACTATCATTTTCTTGTGCATATTTCCACAGATATACTATAATGATACAAAGGTATGTATGCATGATATGTACATTTTAAATAGCAGCATATTATAATACATGTTGTTCTATAAATATTTTTCACTTAAAAATCTTGTTTTGGAGATTGTTTCCAAGAGAACATAAAGAAGTATTATATATTTTTTGCTAGCCGTGTAATACCCAATATATCCCACAATATTCATGCATACGTGAAAAGATATACTATAACCACTTCTTCGTTGGTGGGCACTTATGGCCTTTCCAAAATCTTTTATTACAAATATTGTTACATTGAGTGACTTCATATATACCTCATTTCATACAAGATAAATTCCTAGCATACAGAACTAAGAACTTACTGTTCTTGTTAGATGTATACCAATTTAAACTCCTACCATTTTTCACCAATGTGTGTAATCCAACATTTTAATTTTTGCATATCTAATTTTTTTAAAAAACAGTGTATCATTCTGGTTTTAATTTGATGTCTTTTAATGTGAATGAGGCTTTTTTTTCCAAGTTTAAAAACCACGTGGGTCCTTTTCTATGACTTTTTCTTCATCATTTATAGGGCCTCTTCTATATTAAGAATGATAGTACTTTGTCAGTTACTGGACTGCATATATATTTATCAGTATATCACTTGTCTTCAAACTTTATTTATAATTTCTAAATTTTGATTTTCATGAAGTCCTATTTGTAGATACTTTTTACTATGATTTCTGGAATTTGGTCATACACAGAAATGTTTTTCACTCCAATATTACTGTTATTTAAAAAAGTCTTATTTGATATTTTCTCAGGAAATATGGGAATAAATGAATCTTGGTAGTGAGTATAAGTGTAAGGAAAGTTCTGTTCTTGCTAAAATTTCCTTTCCTTTATTGGGAAGCAATTTTAAAAATAAGCAACTTTAATAGTGAGAGAATACATAGGAAGGAAGCCCTGTTTATGATATAGCAATCTTGGGGGAGCACAGACCAATGAGAAGCTGCTCTCACATTTCTGACAACAAGAACAGGGCAGTGTAAAAGCCTAAATTCCTTCAACATCTGTATATATATCACAAGGAAGGAAGGAAGGAAGGAAGGGGGGGGGGAGGGAGGGGAGGGAAGAAAATCATCAAAGAAATAACAGTTTTTAAACCTGAAGAAAAACAAATTGTCAGATTAAAAGGGTCCAATAAATATTCAGCATGATGAAGAAAACATGCATACCAATGCATTTGAAAGCTGCAAGAGGAAAAATAGCTACTACAAAGGAATGAGAACCCAATTCGTATCATCCGATTGCTATCAAACATCTCATCAGCTACTTTGATAATGAAGAAGAAAAGTGAGTTTGAGCCTGTATCTATCCAAACTACAAGTCAAGTATGAAAGCAAAATAAAGATTTGTTCCACAAGAAAGAACTCAATCTATTTCTTTCCAACATAGAAATAATCAAGAAGACATAAATTATATCAGGATTACACGGGAAGTGTAATGACAAGAAATTCTACCATGAGAGGCTTGTGGCACATTTAGAAAACAAACGGTCCAAATCAGAACAGAAAAGTTAATGGGCACCAATAAAAATTTTCTTCAGAAGAAAACAAAACCAGAAGATCCTAGTAGTATGGTAAAACACAAATTTCTGCTTCTAACAACATAAGACAATCTGAAATTCTAGAAAACACAATTATAGAGAAAGACATACTCTAAATAGGACCATCTTCTGCAAATAGCAGAGAGTGTATGATATTCTATTAATAAAGAGAAAAAAATTAATTCTGGCATACTAACTCCATAGTGACCAAAAACTATAGAGCCATAATGAGACACTTGATTTCAACATCTATAATTAACTTAAAAAAAATCAAATACACAGAACAAATTGTTACTAGTGTCAACAAAATGAAAGTAAACATACAGTTGACATATATAGTGCAGCTTAAAACATACAATCACAAGATAGAACAAAAATTAATAAGAATGTTACTTAAGGGCTGGGTTGTGGCTCAGTGGTAGAGCACTCACCTAGCATGTGTGAGGCACTGAGTTAGATTCTCATCATGGAATATTACTAATTAATTAATTAATAATGGTCCATTGATAACTAAAAAAACAAAAAAGAATGTTAAATTTAAAATATAAGAATTAATAAAGTAATAAATATGCCAGGTGCTGTGGCACATGCCTGTAATCCCAGCAACTGGGGAAGCTGGGGTAGGAGTATGGCAGGTTCAAGGCCAGTGGTAGCAACTTAGCAAGACTGTGTCTGAAAATATGTAGTAAAAAAGACTAGCAATGTAGTTCAGTGGAAAAGCATTCCATGGGTTCAATCACTGGTACCAAATAAATAAAATAAAATAAAATAAATCAAGAACTAGTAATATAAATATATTATTTAGAATTATGAAAAGTAACTCTTTCATGGGAAGCATGACTGGGGTTAGGAAAGGGTGAAGTGGAATATGAATTTTTTTTAATGATGATGCTTTTTAAAGCACACTTAGTGATGCTAATGATCAGTTGGTCTGGGTTGAGAACCTTTGAGCAAAAGCATCTAATAATTCTTTCTTCTCAGATAAAATAACTCTTTATAATGTGTAATAATGCCTAAATCAGAAGCTGGTGAGAGGGTGTCTTTTCTATAGTAACATTAGAAAGGGCTAATATTTTAACAAGAAATATATTCTTCACTTGAAGTTAAAAAGTCAGAATATAGGGCTGGGTGTATAGCTCAGTTGGTAGAGTGCTTGTCTCTCAAGCACAAGGCCCCTCGGTTCAACCCCCAGCACCAAAAAAAAAAAAAAAAAAAAAAAAAGAATACTAGCTTGAAGTTATTTAGTGTGGTATTATATAACAATAAAAGATATCAAAATCATTGAATTTAAGATTTTAAACAGAGAAATAAAGTTTTTATGGATTTAAATTTAAAGAATGTGGGAAGACTGGAAAGAAATAAATAATGGCAAGGTAGAAAATAAGAACTTTTAAAAAACATATCAGAGAGGTTGAGACAAAGGAACATTTTTATTACCAGTATTCCTCACTACTTATGGCTCCATTTGTTAGGTACTAGTATTCACAGTATACATCTATTTTAAAAATTAATCTTTTTCCAAAATTCTTTCTGCTGATGAAACTGAGACATTACCTACATGAAGCAAAATAAACTCTTAGGAAAGTATATTCATACATCCTTTGCTCCTTAACAGATTCAAAGGGCACAAATAAGAGGAAGACCATGAACCCTCTTTTCCTGCTTATTTTTTAGAATAGTGTTTTGATAGTTTAAGTTCAGGGTATGAAAAAAAAGACCCATGTGTTATGGTTTGGATGTGAGGTGTCCTCCAAAAGTTCATGTGAAATAGTGTAAGAAGGTTTGAAGAAGAAATGATCGGGTCGTGAAGAGTTTAAACCCAATCAGTGAATTAATCTTCTGATAGGGATTAATGACGCTAACTGAAGTGGTAGGGTGTGGCGGGAGGAGGTGAGAATTGGAGGCGTGGCTTTGGGGTATATATTTGTATCTGACAATTGAAGACTTCTCTCTGCTTTCTGATCGTCATGTGAGCTGATTCCCTCTACCACATTCTTCTGCCTCACCTCAAGCCCCAAGGAATGGGGCTGGCCTTCTATGGGCTCACATTTCTGAAACTGTGAGCCCTCTAATATAAACTTTTCCTCCCCTACAATTGTTCTGATTGGTTCCTTTTAGTCATAGTAGTCAAAAAGTTGACTAAAACACCATGTAAAATTAAAGATGAAACCAAGCTTAACATCACTTCTGGTCCAGATGATTATCATTATTTTTATAGACAGGCATACCTAAAATCAGAAAGTAATGAAAGATCTTTTGCCTTGGTGAGATATGCTGGGCATTTTCTATATATGGTTTAAGAATACTCAATATTCACAACTTCACAATATTGAACCATTTCCTGTTTTACAGAAGAATTTGACCCCAAAATTTAGTCACCTGACCAAGGTCACAAAGCTAACATGTAATATATATTTTACTATTTTGAATGTCTAACAAAACTTTTAGGAATTCGAAGATAATAAGGTACCATCTGTACGTTAAAGAATATTTTAGGTGACATAAAACACTTGAAAACATTTTTTGGTAATGATCTATATTCTGATATCTATAGTGAGATAATTTTAACTTCAGGAAAAGAATTAATATGATAGCTGTGAGGAACCAGTACTCATTCTATATGACAAGCAATGTATTTTAGATGGGGAAAGTGATAAATTAAGAAAAGTTTTATTTGTGATCAGGTGTAATAGGCCTTCTATAATGGAAAGAGTCATCATTCCCTGGATCTATCAGTCATTGAATTTAGTTTAAAAGATAACCAAAAAGTCAAAATAAATAAATAAATAAATAAATAATCCAGCTATAAATATTGTGATGTGTATTACTCAATGTACAGAATATTCAAAGTATTTAATTGATAAAATAGAAGTCTTTAGAATCCCTAGAAACTGCGTTCTTTACATTTTTAGACTTACTGCAAGTGCAATCAGAAAAATGCTATTTTTGTATTAAAAAATGTAAATGCAGGGCTTGTAGCTCCATGGTAGAGCACTTGGCCTTGCATGTGTGAGGCACTGGGTTCAATTCTCAGTACCATATATAGATAAATAAAAATAAAGGTTCATCAACAACTTAAAAAAAAAAAAAAAGTAAATGCTCTTCACCCACCATAAATCCATAATGTATATTCTATATTACAAAATACCAATAATAAACTTGGAGTGCATAAGTTAATATGTACTGTGTAATGAATAAAAGTTACCTCTCTTTCTCAAGTTCTTCTAAATATCCAGTACTTTCTCTGCTTCCATTTACAAACCCTCTTCTTGGAAATGACCCCATAGGAACTGGACTGCACTCTCCTGAACGACTTGATACAGATCCTTCCCGGCTTCCATAAGAACGGAGGGACATTTTTGACCGTAGTTTTACTCCAGGAAAATTGCTGCTATCTAAGGTAAGTTCTAAATAAAACAGAGACAAGTTTTTATATAACAACTGCTTTATGTCATGCAAAATATTCCTAATATTTTTTTTAAACCAACAATAGCTGAGAGAGGATTTTTTTAATGTTATCATGGATTTGATTTTTTTAATATTTATTTTTTAGGTGTAGATGGACACAACACAATGCCTTTATTTTTATGTGGTGCTGAAAATCAAACTCGGGTCCCACCCGTGCTAGGCGAGTGCTCTACCGCTGAGCCACAATCCCAGCCCTAATATTGTTTTAAAAGTAAAATCTTACATTCATATTTTAGCTACAAATATACATGGCTGAATAAACAATTATTTAGATTCAGAATGGCTCGACTTTCCCTGAAAAATCAGCTTGAGTCTCGGAGAAAAACAGGTAGAATTAAAAAGGAAATAAAAAAATCAAGGGAGAGAAATGAATTACAGTAGATGGGGTAGAGATAGAAGATGGGAGGGGAGGGGGGGGGATAGTAGAGGATAGGAAAGATAGCAGAATACAACAGTCACTAGTATGGCAATATGTAAAAACGTGGATGTGTAACCGATGTGATTCTGCAATCTGTATACAGGGTAAAAATGGGAGTTCATAACCCACTTGAATCAAATGTATGAAATATGATATGTCAAGAGCTTTGTAATGTTTTGAACAACCAATAAAAAAAAAAAAAGGAAATCAGACAAAATGTCCTTCCTTAGATTCTCTTCAGATAATATTTCAAAACCCAAAAGTAATTTCTCTAACTAGTTTCAGTTATTACTAAGCACTTTCCCTATTTTGTCACTGGAATTTTCAGACAAAATGTCCTTAAAAATTTTTATTTTATTTATTTCTTTAATGTGGTGCTGAAGCTCAAACCTAGGGCCTCACCGGTGCCAGGCAAGTGCTTTACCCCTGAGCTACAACCCGGGCCCCTCCTTAGATTCTCTTTGGATAATATTTCAAAATCTAAAAGTAATTTCTCTGACTAGTTTCAATTAATACTAAGTCCTTTCCCTATTTTGTCACTGGAATTTTCCAGCGACAAAATGAGAAAAGCATTTTTAAAACAAATTTTGCTAAAAATGGCATTGAATTAGCTTACATATTAGGAAAACAAAGCACTATCCTGGATGGAACAGAGAAAGACAATACTTCTTCAGATATATTTACCACTTAGTTTGTGGCACACAGAATACTAAAATCCTATTTTGTGACTGGCATAATAGCAATGAGCTTTAAAAAGAGCTGGAAAGTATCAAAGAAGAGATTTTAAATAGTTTATTTTAAAAGTCAGTTAAACGTTTAAAGAAAGACAAGCAAATACTTTGTACTTTAAATATTACATTTAATGGGTAAGTCTGATAAACCAAGAAAACTGATATCACTACCCAAGTCAAAAGAAAGTGTACTTGGATTTACATACCAAATGTTATCAACTTGGGCTTAAAAAAATTACTTTAAAACATTTTTTAAAAAATCTACCTTTAAGACGCTCTAAAAAATCAATCTGTCCAGAAGAAGCCATAGCTTCATCTTCAATACTTCCTTGTAGTTGTTTAAGTACTTCCTGTGAAAAAAGAACACACAATATTAACATGATAAATTGTTTTTGCTTATGGTTTTGGGGATTGAACCCAGCACTCTTCCACATTTCCAGCCCTAACATGATGAAATTCTAAAAACTTCTTAAAGACATGAAGTGTTTCATGGCATTCAGGTATGCCAAGGGGAAAAATGTCATCTTGGATCACTCTGTGTATATTACCTATTATTCATTATCATTAATATATTATATCTCAATAACGATAAGTGATAATTTGTGATAATGGTGATTATGAGGAGTCCCTGTGGAAGATACTGTACGGACAATTAAAAGGCATTATCTCTTAACTTTTAGACAATAAACAATATCATTTTTTAGATAGACCAAATAAGACCTGTTGAAGCTGATAAAAAAAAGTTGTTTAGAATCCATGTCTCTTAAACCTGTATCAACATGACCACAAAAAACACCACCCAAATTAATGTTATTATCTGTTATTTAACAATTTAATATTTAAACTTTTATATGCCACATTTAAGTACAATCTGCTAAAATACTGATTTACACTTAGTAGATATTCAAATGACTAATGCTCTGCCTCCTGACTTTTGATGCCATTATTTTCTTTCTTAGGTAAATCCACTCTTAGAATAAACCCTTAAAGCACAGCTCTGATCAGATCTCTCTTTACAAGATTCTTTTCCAAAGCCTAGAGGTGGTTCTCAATCCTCAACATGGATCAGAATCACCTAAAGATCTTATTAAAACATAGTTTGCTGATTCAATAATTTGGGATGGAGGTTGAGAATCTGCATTTTGAACAAGTTCTCAACTAATGGTGATGCTAAGTAGAGAACATCAAGACACTGCCAATGTTATTCTATGAAGGTTGGGACTGCAAGTGAATTTTTTTTTGCTTGTTTTTTCCCCAATTCTTAAACATTATATATTAGAAAAAGTATGAAGATCTAAAAAATTCAAAAATATAATAATAATAATAAGGATCAAATAAACCACAGCATTAGCTACATGATGGAAAACTATGCAACTATGAAAAACACAAACTCTTTAATGACAAGATTATGATAATCTATCATGTAAGAAAAAAAGTATGATGTAAAATAAAGATACCATCAAATATGTTTGTAGAGAATGTACAAAAATAAAGAAAAAGGTCACCTCTGTTTCTGGAGATGGGATTATGAATTAAGAGGGGGAAAAAAAGGAAGGAGGCAAGGAGAAATGGTGCTTGTGTAGCTCAGTGGTACAGTGCTTGCCTAGCATGTGTAAGGCCCTGGGTTTGATCCCAAGTACCACAAAAGAAAAAAAAAAGCACACAAAAATGGGTGACGTTGATACTTCTGCTTAAACAATTTCCTAAGTTTTAAAAATAGTGAATATGCACAACTTGTAAATAAAGTTATTTTTAAAAATTTTCTGTATTATTAGAAATCTACTAAGATAAGGTATTATGAATAAAAGCAAATAAGATCACTGAAATTTAAAATTAAAAAATAATAAAAAAAGAGTTTCATGGTAGCCACCTTGGAAAGTTACTAATTTACCCCAATGATGTGTACCTTAAATTATTTTTGTTAAGTGCTTTGAGTTTCATATGAACCTTACCAACAAAAGCTGGACTAATAAACTTATAGACATTCAGTTACTTTGCCTTTAAGGTGATACCATCAGTATGACCTGATAAAGAAAAGAAACCTCAAGATCTTTTTCCACTTTTATTGAGGTATATCATATGTAGGTAAAAATACATTCATTTTAAGTACCTAATGAATTTTCACATCTGTAATCACCACCTATGTGAAAACACAGAACATTTTCAACGCTCCAGAGGATTCCATCAATGCCTTACAAATCAGTCTTCATTTCCAGAAATAACTACTATGACTTCAGAATATTATTTCAAATGGAACCATACAGTATATGGTCTTTTGTGCCTTCTGTTTTTTGCTTAACATAGTTACCTGTGAGATACGTCCATACAGTTGCATGTATCCGTTCTTTTTTTTTTTTTTTTTGATGACAGGGATTGGGCACTTTACCACTGAGCCACATCCCTAGCCCCTTTTCATATTTTATTTAGAGACAGGGTCTCATTGAGTTGTTTAGGGCCTAAGTTCTTGAGGCTGGCTTTGAACTTGGCCTCCTGCCTCAGTTTCCTCAGCTGCTGGGATTACAAGCATGTGCCACAGTGCTGGCTCATAATTTTTTAAATGCTGCATAGTAGTCTACTATATGAATATCCTCCAGTTTATTATTTTTCCTCTTGATGTGACATATATATGGTTATCAGTTTGGAGGCTATTATAAATGTTATTGCACTTATCTTTTAGTGGACATTTCTAGTAGTTCAAATGTTGAGTCACAAGGCTTAACTATAAAAGAATATGCTGAAGTGGTTTTTTACACCACTGATGGCAATGTCTCAGCATTCCAATGCTCCACATTTGGGGTGACTGGTCTTAAGTCATCTGAGTAGGAGTGAAACAATCTTTTTATTTCCCTGATGACAGATGATGTTGAACCACTTTTCATGTGCTTAATGGCTACTTATCATCCTTTCTGAATTGTCTTTTCAAATTTTGGACCATATTTTAAAAACCGTGTATCTTTTTTTTTTGATACTGTTTATAAGAATTCTTAATATATTCTGAACCAAGCCCTTCTGTCATGTATGTTAGTAAATATTTGGTAAATGTGTAGCAAATATTTTCTCTTATGGTTTACCTTTTCATTTTCTTCCTTTCCTTCTCTTCCTTCCTTTTGGTAGTGCTGGGAATAGAACCCAGGGACTTATATTTACTAGGCAAGTGGTCTAATACTGAGCTACATCCCAGCCCTGCCTCTTCAATTTCTTAATGAAATCCTTTGGAAAACAGATTTTTAATTTTGATGAAGTCAAATTTTAAATTTTTTCTTTTATGTTTAGTCTGCTACATGTCCTAAGAAATCTTGTCTCTTCCAAGTTATTATTCTATGTTTTCTATTAGAAGCATAACAAGAATCTACAGACGAACAAAAGTTCTTAGTTTTTTAATGATGTTTAAGTTGTATCATCTTTTCCCTTTTATTGTCAAGGCTTTGATAATCCTGTTTGAGAAATCTTTGCCTCCTTCCTAGACATGAAGCTATTCCCTATATTCTCTTCTAAAAGCCACTGTTTTGACTGTAACATATAGGTCTATAATCTGTCTTGACTGATTTTAGTACAGGATGAGATCAGGTTCTGTGTTTTTTTTTTTCCTTTTTCCCCATACAGATAATTCAATTACTCCTGCACCACATAACAAAAAGGACACTTTCCTCACTGATTTATAAAGGATGCTTGGTCATAAATCAGACTACCATATGTATAGATATTTTTATGAACTCTATTCCTGTTAGTCTTTTAGTCTCCATTGTCTTAATAACCCTACATCAATTAATTCTCAGCAACTATCTCTTCAAATATTGCTTTTGTTCCATTCTTTCTCCCGAAAATTCAATTACATTTGAAGTCTCTAACTATAATTTGTCTACTTGCTTATGTGCCTCATAATACCATTTAAAAAATTTTAAATTTGTTTTAGTTGTTAATGGAACTTTATTTATTTATATGTGGTGCTAGGCAAGCACTCAACAACTGAGCTACAACACTAACCCCATCATTTTTTTTTTTTTTTGCTTCGTGCACAGTTGGGTGTTTTCTATTGATCTTTAAGTTCACTAATGCTGTCTTCTCATTAGTTCACTAATTCTGTGTTCATCATGCTGTCAAGCCAATTTAATAAGTTAATATCAAACATATTTTTCAGTTCTAGAAATCTATTTGATCTTTATTAGATTCCAATTCTCTGTCAAAGTTTCATTGGCTGGTTGGGCTGGTGCATGCCTGAAATCCCAGCAGCTCTGGAGGCTGAGGCAGGAGGGTTTTGAGTTCAAAGCCAGCTTCAGCAATTCAGCGAGGCCCTATAACCAACTCAGTGAGATCTTGTCTCTAAATCTATTAAAAAAAAAAAAAAAAAAAAAAGTCTTGGGATGTGCTCAGTGGAAAAGTGCCCCAAGTTCAATCCCTGGTACAAAACAAACAAAAAACCAACCCACAACAAAGTTTTCCATTTTTAGCCATTTTGTCCATTTTTCTTTCTTTCTCCTCCCCCAACAAAGACACAATACTTATGTTAAAAATCCTTGACTATTAACGTGAACATATGGTTCATCTCTGGGTTTGCTTCTATTATTTTAGATGTTTGGTCTTTAATTTCCTATACCACAAAGTTCAAAATCTGTCAAATGTCTTGCGGAGACCCGTTGTGTAAAGTAATGTCTTTCCTTTCAGCAAGACCTTGCCTCCTAGCATTCCTCCTTCCTAGTCTATCCCCAGCCTCCTTCATTACAAGTAGACTCAGCCAACGTCCTACAGTAAGAATCAACCATGTGTTTGTAGCTCCTCTGAGTGCCAACACTGCATATCTTGCCATCATGTTTACCAAGATCTCCAACAGTTTTTATATTTTACCCCTAGCCGAGTCTTTCTGCTTGTGCCAATGATAAACATCCCTCTGTACCCAGAATCAACATCTCTGTAGAAGACAATCACCAATAATCTCAGATCATCTTGATCGGGCTCAAGCATGGTTTTTATATTTCATCCAGAGTTTTCTAGTAAGATTGTCTGAGGTTGCATACTGCATACAATCTTGAAGAGGTTCTCAATTTCCAAGAATTTTTAGAAGAAAACATAGGGTATGGTTGGGCAGTGCAAACACTATGTAACATTAACAAATTCAATAAAAAGTAAATATATAGATTAAAAAAAGAAGAAATGTGGCAACTATATAGCAATTCCAAACACAATGTTTGAAAAAGATTTGAGAAATGGTAGCTTTTAAAATGCTGTGTATGTGAAGAGACCCACAAAAATTAAAATAGAGTAACATCATACACTACCGGGGTAACTAAGTTGATATAACATTTTTGGGTATCAAAGTAATCAACCCATCATGAAGAAATTAGAAACGAATAAA